CCTAGGGCTTAGAAAGCACTTGCATGTACACTGGCTGGAGCTGGTGTGGGTATCCTGCTGATGGTTCTGAGGGGCATGGGCCTTGCCCAGAGTCACACTGCCAAGAGTCATATGCCAGTGTGTTGATGCCTCCTCCTTGCCATTTCTCAGTGCAATGTGGCATACCCCCCCAGAATTATGAGGCTGGGATGGGAGGGCTGCTGCTGGCTTGGCTGGGTCAGTTAGGGTCCTCACTCCCAGAGAGCCTGACCTTATGGGAGAGAGAGAATAAGCAAGAAGGGAGTGGATGGACACATGAAGTCACGTGTAAACTGGGGCAGTTAGTACCCACTGACTCCCTCTCTTTGCCATGCAGAGCTCCAAGGGAGCAAAGGCTCTGGGCATCTTATAGTGGTGGCCATAGATGCCAGATGCTCTCTGGTCCCTGCACTGGGCATAGCAGGCTCTCACCCTGAGCCTGGCTTCTCTTGTCATTTGTGAACTTTTTGACTCATGTATTCCTCTGAGACCCCGATCAAACTTTGGACCTCTCCCCAGAGAGAAACGGGTAGGAGAGCAATGGCTCATGTACATGCACAGTTACATATGCTCAGGGATAAGCATGCTCCCTGCTGTCCAGCCACCAGCTGACTGGCTGCAGCAAGTTAGACGTTGGGGTCAGGAGGCTGTCCACTGGCAGCATTTGAGGGTGGGGGCAGAGGGAGCCTTGCCAGGGGGCCAACTCTCTACTGCGCCATTGAGGATATCTACCAGGGTGTTAGAGGTTTAAAAAGCTCTGGCCCTTAGAGGTATACACCTCAGGTAGGTAGGGAATTTCCCTTCCTGAAATGGTCACAATGTCAGAGAAATAAGAGCCTGTGCTAGAAAGACAAGCTGAGGGAAGAAGGAAGACATTCCAGGGCCTTGGAAGACGTCCAGTCTTGTGCAGTGAGTGTGGGCGGGGGCCTTGTGCCTCGTGGAGGAAGTTGTCAGAGGATCGCTGAGTGTAGAGTGCTGGGGCCCCAAGCAGTGGGCAGCCCTGCCTGCAGGGACAGGCCTCTGGGTTCTGGAGGGGAGTGAAAACTGCCTGGCTAAATGGGGACAGAGAGAGGGAGGCTGGGACACAGGGGAGCCCCTCTGCCCTGGGGAGGGCTGGGCAAGGAAAAGGTCTAAGGAACTGAAGGCGCCTCCTTCCTAACTGACCTGAGCCCCTTTGTCAGGGCCGTTGACAAGACCAAGCCTAGGAGGCTCCCGGGTCCTTCAGTTGAGAGGTGGGTGGATTGTAAGGCCTGACTCTGTTTTCTTCCTACTCACAGGTTACATTCCTTTTGGGACACCAATTGTAAGTGTTATCTTGAAAGGATTTTCTTTTCTAAGAAAAGTTTTTAATGTATAACTTTACATCATTGTTCATAAATATTTGATTAAGTTGTTGATTTAGGATAAATAAATTCCTGGAGGGAAATTATTAGATAAAGTGGTGTACATTTCTTTTTATTTCTCTCTCTTTTTTTTTTTTTTTTTAAAAAGATGACCGGTAAGGGGATCTCAACCCTTGACTTGGTG